AAATTTTCAACTGTACAACTCCAGTCTTTGTCAAGGAATGAGCAATCCACCGCTTCCATGACGTCACGCAGGTAACACACTGACTCCGTGAGCAGTGAGAATTTGGGTGAGTCCAATTTGTTGTGTTGGAAATTACAGTTTACGATTGCTTCATAATGATTTCTACCAACACAGATGGACTTTTAAGATATAATCAGGCTATGTTTAAAGTTAAAAATTTTGTTCCAACACAAGTGATTGTTCTCTTGAGCTTACTTAAAACCACTCTTGTCATCTTTAATAGACTGAGGAAATGATCATAACATACCAATTTATTACAGAGTTAACACTGCTTTTTGCTTGAACAGAAGGTTTAAAAGGTAGAAAAATGGTCTCTGGTAGTAGTAGTAGTAGTAGTAGTAGTAGTAGTAGTAGTAGTAGTAGTAGTAGTAGTAGTAGTAGTAATAGTAGTAGCAGTAGTAAGCCTTTATTTAAACTCGAAAGCTTGTTCGGTACATACATATGACCGCTTTTCAACAGGGTCGCGGGTGAGGGCGGGTGTACGGATTACAAATCAAACCAAAAATATATAATACAAAAATTAAAAGTAAATCATCAGTCCGTTTTCAGTCCAGTCCTCTTGTTCTAGGGTTTTGGAAACTGTTGGAAGTGGATAATCTGATTGAATACTTGTGGGTCTACTGAACAGGAACAAGTGAATTGTAAATGTTCTCAACACTTACCTATTCCCTTTGACTGCGTCCACACCACAACAATGTTAGATGAGATAACAACGATGCACAGCAGAAGTCTCGCTAAACCTCCCATCTTGATTTCCTCTCCCCCATAGATTTATCTTTCTGAAACAAAGACAGGTCCTTAGTTCATGACCCGCTGTCGTTATTTATCTACCCACACAAAAACAAGTCCGTCAATCAAGACGCAAAGTACGTCGCCCGTTGTTTTAATTAGACATCCATGATAGAGACGAGAAGGACTTGTACATGTTACTCAAGCAAGTGGATAATTTTTTGTATATGAAAATACCTGTAGTTGAGCAGGTGTTTGTGTATATGAGTATAAAAATTCATGGTTTATGAATATCTATAAATACCTAGTCAACTACAGATTAGTTTAGTCAGCAGTGTATGCTACTTGAAACGTCTAACAGTTTTAAAAATCTATCCAGTTGCTTGAGTAACAATTATTTGTACGTGCAAGACATGTACACAAAACATTATAACTCAAGTTTCAATGTGAGCAACAGCGCAATGATCTACATTCGACACTGACAAAGATGTTCTTATAGCATGTCTGTGCCTTGGTACCACTAAAGTCACTCGTCATGTAAAAGAGGCTCACGGAAATGGTCTGCACCTGACACATTTACGGAAGAATTATGAGCTACTGACTTCGATGTGTTACAACAATCAATCGGCGTCCGTACGGACGTCCAGTTGATTTATGTAGCAGAACCATAGGGGAGTTGTCTGACAAACGTTACAAAAGATGTGTCTTCGGAGTTGACGTATTGTGGAATACCACAATCCACACTGACAAAAACAAGACCAGGGGAACTTAATCAAGATACAGTTGAACTGTCCCTTTAGGGGATATCATTATTTATTGTTGTTTACTAGTACACTGTTTGCGATCCATTAACACAGCATTTAGTATTCGTGCCGACTGTATGTGTCAACCTGAGCCTATCTCACCGTTGTCTACCACCCCAGGACATTATGCACAGTCAGTAACATTGGACACTTAAAATAACTTGGTGCCAGGGACAGACAGTGTTAGGCTGACAATGGCGACTTTATCGCACTTATCTCGAGAGAGTACAGTTCTATCCCAGAATCTTGAACTGAGATATGCAGAATAGCTTCTTTTGAAATACAACTGTAGCGACGTCATTTCTCGTCCGTTCGAAAATGACAAGATAGAACTAAATCTGAAAGGACTTCTTAAGATTTTGACAATCATTTTGGTATGTTAGTAAGCTTTCTTGATCTCTCGCCAAATTAAAACGTGTAATTTTCGTTATTTTGCGCAAATATCACATAACATCAGGTAGATCGTCTACCTCCATGGGTAGATCTAATGCAATCGACTGACTGAGTCCAACGTTAAATTTACTGTACGCTGTCAGAGATCAGTTGATATTCGAACGTGATAAAGAAGTTCAAAAGTTCAAATTCCTTCCTGTTGTTGGGGTGCTTTGTACATGTACAACAGCATCAACAGATGGCCGCATTTTTCGGAATGACTAGAGCTTAACCCACGATTTGAATATAGAAAACCAACATAGTGCAGTAAAACGTAAAAGTTTTAGGAGTGAATGGCTTCTTATGAAATACAACTGTAACGACTTACACAGTGCATTTCCATCTTTTCTCGAATGTTGCGACAGCGTTAAAATCCTTAAAAGAATCCCCAAGCCTAGGAAAAACATGTTGTGTTCCTGCTACCAGACAGACCCCAGAAAAAAAACTGCCAACCCTAGGCTCTTTTTGGGTGGACCCCTGCAATGGACATAAATTTTGAGCGGTCAACCTTTCCTAGCTCCATGATCTGACACCTGAGTGATAAAACGTTGTACACTTGGTTTTATAACACTGACATTGGAAATATAAGTTTCCTCACACAAGTTTTACTTTGTTAAACTGTATTGTATAAGCACTAGAGATTGCCAAAGTCTAATAAAAAAGAAAGAAAAAAGATTATCCCTACCTACTGATTTATTCAGGACTGAAACGGGAAACGCAACATTTTTCCTACACCCCAGCTAAATAATTCTAATTTGGATTTTGCATCTGCAGCATTTGTATATGCTAAGGACATGTACACGCAACAGTTGAAGCGATAGGTTTTGAGAAGGTTTAAGAATAGTAGAGAACATACCTGTTTTTGTGGACAATGGTCGCAGGTGTGAGGTGGGCAGATGTGATGCATGCGGACGATGACTTGTATATGACCCCGCCACAGCGTCCGCATAATATGTAGAGCAGGGACAAGTAATGGCCATGCGCGGCAAAAACCTTGACAGGTGAAAAATGTAGTCCCGGTGTCCTTTTTTTCGCAGGAAAAATATGAGAAATTGACTAAAAACATGGTTGATAGGGTTATCCAAAATAGGGTCTAGAGGACGGCAAAGATTCGTACTCTACAAATTTGGTCCAAATGTGCGACTTTTCTCGCGGCTTCCTAACGTGTAATGATACGCTTGAGTGAAACGGTCGAACCGTGTCACAATGCGGAGTGATCTAATGAAAAGGTGCTGATATAGCTTGAACCATTTGCCTTTTTCAAATACCGGAGTTGAACTCCGACCGTTGGTGATGAGATAGGCAAGACTATATCGTCGCGTGTTATGTTAATCCTTCCACAAATGTGGCAAATCTCAATAAATGAAACAATGAATGATCTCTACTGGAGGTTATAATTACGTCTTTATGATTAATTGCGTCTCATAAAGTGGTCCATTATCATAATTTATGATATAGTCTTTCTGGTTCTGCCCCATGTCTTGCCTTGAATTCTCAAGATACATATTTTATCAACAGATCTCAGTTCAAATTGTCAGTAGGGCAGGCAACTTTGACATAAGTTTGACAGTTGTTAAGAGGCAATCCCTTTTAAGTTTGAGGAAAAGACAGGTGATTAATTATTACTTAACTGTGCTGCACACAGGCGTTTGAAAAGTGTAGCCGTGGGGCCCAGGTCATAACGTCAGTGCACCAATCCGTTAAGCGTTGTCGATCAATCTCTTTCGCGGCACAGCATTGTGTCGTTTGGCTAACACAGCAGGGACACTACTAGCCCTTGGCGTGGTTACCAGAGATATGTAACACTTGTTCTTTTTTTGTATTCTTGGTGATGGTGACCAATTAGCGTAAGCCCCTACACCCTGTCACGCATTTAGAATTTTTACACGACCAACAACCAAGGTTGGCTAAAGTTTGGGAACAGTCTGGCTTGATCTAGGCAACGCCGACCTTTTTATACAAATATATACGAATTTAAATGAGTCAAATTCTACTCCAGAACAGTGCTAACCTTCTCCCAAACACCAGGCAACCACCAACCGACCATGGCGGAATATCCCGCTCACACCCGAATGTTTTAAACATTTTAAAGCATCCCGCTGTCGCAGACGACCTTGCTCCCGACCTACTCCTAGCCATGGTCTTGGGTACCGAAGTTTGGTTGTGTTCAGAAGGCCATATTCAGCTATGTGTGATAGGGGCATGGCCTCAGTAAAAGGTTGAACTTTATTCCAACACACAATTGTACAGGGATAAAATTTTGCGACAAAATTCAGCGAAATGGCATGGCCTTATTAAAATAATGTGAACTAGTCTAAATGATCCTCAAGTAAGTTTCATAAATTGTTTTTCTTGTAAACTAAAACACACAACAACAGCTTAAATATTGTTATATATTGACCTCCATTTCAATATAAAATCCAACACCCCCATTTCCACAATTTTTATTTAATCTATTTAAAACGTAACCAGTACGAAATCGCATGTTCAATGAAAGTAAGGAAATATAGTGACAGTAACAATCCTTCCCACGAAAAAAAGAATATAGAAAAACAAAGTTATCAAATACAGGTTGTACAGATTAATCATTATTCATTCTTAAACCCTAACCAATTAAAATTATTGTATACAATATTGAAAGTGAATCTTCAAGTTAGTTACACAAATGTTAAACATTACATAGTAAATATTCAAGATCATGTTGTCTTCAAACTCGTTGAGTAAAATTCAAGAAAAATTAGACAGCATTCAAACAAATCAAATCTTAGTAATACCTATTTTGTAAAAGCATTAACTATATTAATACTACTACTACATATTACTCTCCACATGATGTTAACTTATAAATCCTGTTACCCTCTGAATCTTAAAACAGTAAATATTTCACCTTCTATACCCAAAGCTGATATGTTTTTGGCCATGTCGTTCACATGGTAATCACAAATGAGCCACAGGACATCTACAAATCTCTTGCACCGATCCATACATCTCATACTCCACAAGGCATTCAGTGTACATGTATGACTATTCATTATCGAAACTTAAGAACAACAGTGGAAAAATGTTCACCTACAGATCTGTGAAGTTGTAGAATGCTTTACTAAGTGAATTTAAGACTTCTTATGCAAGTTAATGATTTAGGTGATACCTGTATATACTGTATTGACGTCAGGACACAGTTCGTAATTCTTAATCTTCAATTCTTACTTTAAGTCTGTGTTGGTAAGATAATCTGTACTACATTCGTTTGTAATATCAGACATATGTGTACATCTATTTTATGTACTGTTTGTATTCCTTTGTTACTGAGCCCTGAAAGATTAGCCCCGCTAAGGGTATCTCAGTAAACTCAAGCTCAGGCTCACAAGTCTGTGAGAGGTCCAAGTAGTTAAAGCAGTCAAAACAGTTCAGGTGGTAAACGTGAGGACAGCAATGTGCTTACAGTACACACAATGACATTAACGTGCATCCAATGCGATTTCAGGGCAGCAACACTGAAAAAATCTGAATAAGGCAATCTTTGTGATATTTACACATACTGCTTCAAATAAGCACATTTCAGTCAGTAGTTCATAAAATGGGATTTTGAAACTGTAGAAATAAGACCCAAGATGAGTCCTTTATTTTCTGGGTGGTACCCTAAAAATCAGCCCTGGGCCCTTCCAGTAACCATT